GCGGTGCCCCTGCCACTGTTGGTCACCTCCGGACAGCGGCCCAACCCGGAGGCGAGGGCTCCTGGGCAACAGCTGGTGGCGGCGGCGGAAGCCACGGCCCGGCTTCGAGCCCTGGCACGTCACCGCCTCCCGCTTGTGTGTCCCCTCTGTAAAGTGGGGGGTGGGCTGTCAGGGTCCAAAGCCCTCTCCCCAGGGGTGGGAGGCCCAGCAGCACATGGGGAGTGGCAGCATCTGGCTGTGTTTGGTAAAAATCCACCAGATTTTGACTCCACGTGCCTCTGGGCCATCCGTCCTGTGGGGCTGGGAGGCGGGGCACCGACCCCAGCTCCCTCGGCCACACTGGGCCCTGGCTTCGGCCTGCCCACAGCACTGTCCGTGGCCTCACCACTAGTGGTGGTTCCGCTGGGCCTCTGCACCCCCTCCCTGTGTGGGTGGCCATGGGACACCCCTCCAGGCCCCACTGCCGCTGTTCCCAGCTCGGTGTCTCGGTGAGCTGGAGGTCCGTGGGCTGGCGTCTCCACCAAGAACACCTGGGAGCTGGGAGCGGGTCTCACAGGCCACGCGCTGGGCGGGCTGGGAGCTCGGTGGCCCTGGAGGCAGAGCTGGGCTCTGGGGCAGGGGAGGGGGACACCGGGGAGGGGAGGGGGCCCAACCCATGGAGGCCCAATCATTGGGCCTGGAGCCCCCCTTACAGCAGACCGTCCTCCAGGGCCCAGACATCCCGTCTGGGGTTCCCCTAGTGGGCGAGCACTGCCACTTCCTGGTCCCGGGCACTGGGGCTCTCAGCCTCCCCCAGTGGCTGCTCTGGCCGCCTGGCACCCCCAGCAGATTCCTACCCCGTCAGTCTCACTGGAGGACGGGGCCTGTGAGTGCCCGGCCTTATTCGGACTCGGCTGTTCATGGAGTGGACACTGCCCCCGAGCTGTGGGCACCCACCCAGTCCGCGTCCCCGGTGTCCGCCGTGTTGTCTTTCCCTCCTTCATGGACAACGCCCCCCTTGTCCCCCCCCCCCGCACTTGGTGGCATTTCCCACGTCTGGATTGGCGGGTCCCGCGTGTGGTGGTAACAGGCCACTCCCTCTCCTACGGTTCTGTAAACGGGTGGGATGTGAGGCTCCGTGGGGTGGGCGTGGGGTTCGTAGGAGAACTGAGGTCAGAGATCCGCTCTACCCTGTGCCGAGCGGGGCTGCGGGTCGGGGAGAAGCAGGGACCTGCTAGGAGGGCGTCCAGCAACCGTGGGGGGAAGGAGCTCATGTGAACAGTGTGTGGGGAGCGGAGGTGGCCGGTGGGAGCGGAGCCCACAGTGTGGATTCGGGAGGGTCCGGGCTGCAGATGGGTGAGATGTGAGGCTCCGTGGGGTGGGGGTATTGATTTTTGTTTTTTGAATATTGCTTTTTAAAGATTGACAAGAAGGGGGGAGAGTTGGGCCTGACTGCTGGGCACCCCCGGAGAGGAGGAGGAGGGCGCAGGAAAAGGGATTGAGCCCTGGAGAGCAGGTGGGGAGGGCGGGCCGAGGGCTGCCCACGTGTCTGAGGCCCAGGAGCTCCGAGCGGACCTGCCGCCTCAGCCTCCACCCCCACCCCAAGGGGCAGACATGAGCCACTGTTTCTGGGTTTTCCCGTCCGTGCGCCCCTCCCCCGCCCCGCCCGCGTAGCGGTGCTCTTTTCTCCCATGACTCCCAGGGGCGTCGGGTATTTACACCATGATGTCTGTGTTTGTATTCAGCGCCGAGACATGTGGTAAATTGTGATGATTTTTTCTTTCCTTCGTTATTAATTGCCTTCTTTTTCATTTGCTGTTTCCTACGTACTAATACCAGTGAAGCCCGCTCTCTCCCCGGTCATCCCAGTCTCCTCCCGGTGCGGCCGGTCACTGGGGCCTGTTGAGGGTGCCTCCCCGGAGCCTCTGCCCTGCTCGG